GTTGATCGCATTGGAAAGAGAAGATTAACCTCGGATGGACGTAAGAATGGTTGTTTGAGCCTCCGAACTCACATAATTCAGATGCAAATCAATTGGTTCCAGAGGTGGCATCAGACACTTTTGTAGCGCTGCCTTTAAGGCGTCGTGCATAGCGCGCTGAGTGGAGAGGAAGGTCTGCGTAATCTGTAGTTGTTCTCGTAACGCTTTGTCCAGAGCCACAAGACAGGGGCTGTGAGAGGTTAGAGCTGAAACGCAGAGCAAGATGATTCGAAACAGCTTAATGTCAAAATTTAACCTTTAGACTGGATTCCAGGGAAAAGGTGGATTTTTAATTTTCTCTAAAACGTTACCAACTGGAGGTGAAACTGAGACGCGAGACTCAAAGAACTAGGTGAGGATGAATTAGTTGAGGCAAAAGCGGTGGGAAGCAAGATATTTCCATGATTAAAAAATGCGGATATTTTCTCCACTCAATGGATTCTTACCAAACTGGTCCAAAGACATACCATCAATGACGCTTCTCGCACCAAGCGGACAGGGCATAATAGGGCGAGGACCAGAGCTGGCAATTATGTGATCGACAGCGGCGGTAACCGCTGTTATGAATGCATTCTGATCGTAGTAGTCTGCGTGGGAGGAGGATTGCCGCGGCTCAACATCTGTCATCACACCAACGTTACGGGAGGTTCTTTTTTCGTTCTTCCGTGCCTCCCTGAAGCATAAGACCAGAGCATGAGAGCCAAAGCTAGTGTTGAATAAAGTATGACGGTGGTTGACTCGGCTTTCCATGTCACTGGCTTACTGAATGAGATATGGTTCTGGCTTACTAGATTGAAATTCCTTCACAATGCTTATTAAATGTGCTACTTTTCCCATTTAGGAAGAATGACTGAGAAATAAGCACCATAATATCATTTCAAAGTTTGTGGACAATTTCGGGGCATCAAGAAAAGTGATGGATTAGCCTAACACCGTTCATTTCCTATCAGATTCAAAATGCAGACTTCGTCATTTATGTAAATAGAATTTGCGACGGTCATCCAAAGAAATTCCCACGTCTTTCAAAAACCCTTCTTTTAGCATTTATTTGGATTATCATTTTGCCTTTCATATCGTGCAGCTATCATGTCTCGGATCCGCTTATGACAAATACTTACTGAAGTGTGCAAACATTTGATTCGTCGATGGAGCTGATTGCCTTCGCACGGTTTTTAGATCTCGTCACATCTTCATTGATAGAATCGGGGCCGCTATGAGAGGACGTTGAGGAAGACTGACCTTTAAAATCATTTAAAAAAAGGCTTAGATTTCAAAACACTCCTTTTAATGGCTTATCTCTTGCGCTGTCGCCAAGAGACAGGTCGTACATTATGTTGATATGAGTAAAACTGAGAAAAACTAGGTACCATTCCTGAATTGTAAAGTAGACTGCTATTTTCGATTCCTGAAGCACTTCTGATTGGCGACGTGAGCCCAAAATAAGCCCATACCTCCAAGCCTTTCCATGTCTCGGTACAACAACTTCTGTCATGATGTTATGCAATCACAGCCTTTAAAAAAGTATTGAAGCGCAGCACTACTTTTACCAGAAAGCGAATCCAATGCAAGAGGGCGAATAGCTTAATTTTCACGGTTGAATTATGAATCTTGGTGTGAAGAAAGAAGGGCTTG